TACACAGAGGGTTTATAAAGGTAGGGAATATAAGAGAATACACAGACTGTAAACTAGTTCAACCATTGTGGAAGACAGTGTGGCGATTCCTCAAGGATCTAGAACTAGAAATACCATTTGACCCAGCCATCCCATTCCTGGGTATATACCCAAAGGATTCTAAATCATGCTGCTATAAAGATACATGCACACGTATGTTTATTGCAGTACTATTCACAATAGCAAAGACTTGGAACCAACCCAATGTCCATCAATGACAGACTGAATTAAGAAAACGTAGCACATATACACCATGGAATACTATGCAGCCATAAAAAAGGATGAGTTCATGTCCTTTATAGGGACATGGATGCAGCTGGAAACCATCATTCTCAGCAAACTATCACAAAAACAGAAAACCAAACACCGCATGTTCTGACTTATAGGTGGGAATTGAACAATGAGATCACTTGAACACAGGAAGGGGAACATCACACACCAGGGCCTGTTGTGGGGTTGGGGGAGTGGGGAGGGATAGCATTAGAAGATATACCTAATGTAAATGATGAGTTAATGGGTACAGCACACCAACATGGCACATGTATACATATGTAACAAACCTGCACGTTGTGCACATGTACCCTAGAATATAAAGTATAAAAAAACCCACAGTATTTATTGCATAATGAAACACACACACACACACACACACACACACACAAAGAGAATACACAATTTTGTTGATAACCTGAACACAATGTAGAACCAGAAGTCAATAAATGGAATAAAAGTAATTTAAGGAGAATATGCTTGGAACAAGTCTGGATTCTCCACGTAGGATAGGATCCAGCATTGGCTCCCCACTCTTTACCAGGAACTGGTGTGTCCCTCACCTGGGTGAGTTAGCCCCGTAAGGCTCCTGTATGGAAGCTTCTTCTTTAGGTACGGGCCATGGTTTGCTTATATCCATCTGGATAATTCTCACTGTTCTTGTTACATTTAATTTAATATTCAGGTTTTGCATGCTTGTTCTTTTATTTCCCTCATCCTTTCGGGAGACTACTCACTACATATAGACATGTGCTAGGTGCTGGAGAGATACTATATTTGTATTTACTGAAACTTTTCAGTTTGGAATGTTGAAAAACTCCAATTCACTTTAATTATTGAGTCTTTATCAGTGGTAGATGTAAGGATGTGTGTTTCCTCCATTACGTTCTATAAAATATCAACCACGGATGAATTGGGAGGATAAATTATGCTGCCAAATATTTTTTTAAAATTTTAAATTCTTCATTCTCAGAGTCCTTAAGCTCTTCTCTGCAGAGGACTCTGGCTTTTGGCCTCAGCTACATTTGAACTGTGACAGGAGGGATCCCATTCAACTCTTTCTGGTGAGAAGAGAACCAACCAAATTAGGGCCAACCTGAAAACGTCTATCTCATCCATCCCTGCCAATCAAACTGGGCTAAAATAAAACTGCTATGATTCCTCTTGGGCAGTGTCACTGAATATTCTCCCCCAACATTTGTAATAACTGAAGAAAATTTACTATATAAATTGCCATCCCAAATGGTATGTAGTTACCTATGCCAGACTATAGTAACGTGAATGATCAAGTAGCAAATTAATTAATCAAAACCCTCCAGCCAATTGTGCTTAGTTCAAATTCGTGTATTTTATGGTCACGTTTATGATTTCATATTACATATATATTTTATGCTAGTAAAATTTTTTATGTATATACATATATGAAATATATCATTATTCAATATTGTTCCACAAAGAATGATTGACAGAAAATGTCATAGCTGTTGGATCCTTTACTCCCTGAACACGTTCAGGAGCTGTGTGCAGCTGGGGGCCTAGCACTAGTTGGAGAGACATTTTTAGACTTCACAAATGACGTCACATCATTATGCCAAATGTCTGACTTGCTTTCAACAAGGTTAGCTTTAAGCAAAACTCCTATATTAAAGGTAATGGACAGTAAACATGACCCTTCTCCTGAAGCCTCAGACAGCAGGTGCTATTCTCTCTCTCTCTCTCTCTCTTTTTTTTTTTTTTTTTGAGACGGAGTTTCGCTCTTGTCACCCAGGCTGGAGTGCAATGACATGACCTTGGCTCACTGCAACCTCCTCCTCCCCGGGTTCAAGCGATTCTCCTACCTCCCGAGTAGCTGGGATTACAGGTGCCCACCACCATGCCTGGCTAATCTTTGTATTTTTAGTAGAGGTGGGGGTTTCACCATGTTGACCAGGCTGGTCTCAAACTCCTGACCTCAAATAATCTGCCTGCGTCAGCCTCCCAAAGTGCTGGGATTACAGGGGTGAGCCACAGCCCCCGGCAGCAGATGCTATTCTTTATAAATGCCTCCCTTCATCTCGTCGTCACCCATTTTAGTGCACATTTCTGACCATGATCTGAAGTGTGGAGAGGAATTGGGTTTGCCTTCAGCATCAGTCCTATTATTTGGCCCTGGGAATAGGTTTCTTTTCTCCTTGACACATGTACCCTTTGAAGGAGACTTCAGTATAATCGTGAAGACTAGCAAAGAAAAAGGATTAAAGTGATCACTTTAATGAGAGAAGTGAACAGTCTTCAGCTTGATAATCAAAATGAATCTTATAGTCTGTTTTTCAAACTGCAGGTGACAATCCATTAGAGGCTTGTGAATTAAACTTAGTGGGTGACAACTAGTATTTGAGAGAATGTCAAATAGAATGGAGAAGAATATAAGATAAAACTATTGGACGTATCAGAGTTCTTACTTGTAGGTAGCAAGGATAACTATTTTACATAAAATTTGTCAATATAAAAATTACGTTTTTTTGGTCTTATGTATAGACACTGATATACATGCATAGATACATACCTATGTATGGCTGTGCATAGTGAGTCATAATATGCGATTTGAGATCTGTTTTTTATTGTGTTATTGTCAAGTTTTTTTTTTTTTTTTTTTTTGAGACGGAGTATCCCTCCGTCACCCAGGCTGGAGTGCAGGGGTGCGATCTCAGCTCACTGCAACCTCCGTCTCCAGGGTTTCAGCAATTCTCCTGCCTCAGCCTTCAGAGTAACTGGGACTACAGGCGCCCGCCATCACACTTGGCTAATGTTTTGTATTTTTAGTAGAGATGGGGTTTCACCATGTTAGCCAGGGTGGTCTCAATCTCCTGACCTTGTGATCTGCCCACCTCATCCTCCCAAAGTGCTGGAATTACAGGCATGAGCCGCCGTGTCCGGCCTGTCAAAAAATTTTGAAAGCCAAAGTCATATATGTGAAATATATGGATACTTTTAAAACAATTTATACTGGTTCTTCTGGTACTTTCTTTAGTGATGATCAGTTAAGCATCTATCCTAGACAATATTCATATTGCAAATTGCTTAGTGTGCCCATTCATCAATTTACGGCCTACATGGTGACTTCTTTCTACCCACACTGTAAGATCATCAATTCTGCATTCATAATCCCAACCCCTGTCAAATCCATTACCACACCTTGCCTGTCATGCTGCCATGTTCTCTTTCCCTTGCTCAGACTTGCTCTACCAGATGACGTTGTAAATAAACATACTTTCCCCTCTGTTCATTGGTTAGAAACTTTAAACTCAAAGATAATTTGGAAGCATTCCTGTAAGTGCCTGTGGCTTGTCATCTCAGCTGAAGGCTCACTGGACTCATGAAAGTCCATCTTACGCTTGACGCTACCCAGAAAGGGTCTGATGTCAGATCAATCAGTTCTGTCTGCTCTCTGTTCACCGATTGCCTTATGGACCTAGTTGGATCAGGGCCTAGGTCATCTCTACTGGATCATAAGGGAATTTATGTTTGCTGAGGAGAGTCTTTGCCTGGCTGTGTTCACGGAATGCGATGTGTAGGTGATCTCTTTTCTCACTGTTGGTTTGATTTGTCTATGTTACCCACTGAACATCTTTTACAGGAAAAATAGCATCTTTTATTTCTGTATGCTCAGCATCTGGTACAATTTCTAGCAAATGAGTGACACTTGATAAATGTTGGTTGATAGAATGAATGATCATCTACATTTTATGAAATGGATGAAAAAACAGGCTAGTTCATCCATAGCAGACATAAGATTATAGTATAGCTCTTGCTGATTCTAAAATCAATGATCTTTTTATTTTGCTGCATCTGAATTTCCAGGAAAATCATTTTAAGGAACTTTGTTACCAATAAGTGGTCTGAATTGCCACTATCTTATATGAAGGTGTCATAGTAGCGATCATGATGATGTTGATAAATCTCAACTGTTGTAAGGATTTTTTTTTTTTTTTGAGATTTGGCTTTGAAAGGTAGAACTCTCAGGAAAAAGGCAAGAAACAGAGATATGGCAAAAGAATAGAGAGTTATCTTCCTGTGCATCTAGTTTATCTGTATAAATAGTTTATCCATTGCTAAGAGGGAGTCTCAGAGCTTGCTCTGGTAGCAGACAATTGGGCTTATTAAAATCACTTTAAGTTACTTGTCTCCATATGCCTAGACAGACAGTACACTATAGGACAGTGGTTCTCAACTGTGGGAGATTTTTCCTCTAAGGGCACATTTGACAACAATTGAGGGGGGGTAGTGAGTGCTACTGGCATCTACTGGATAGAGGCCAGGGATGCTGCTAACCATCCTACAATTCACAGGACAGCCCCCAACAGCAGAGAACTATCCAACCCAGAATGTCAATAGCACCATCACAGAGAAATCCTGTTGTAGAGATGAAGAATGGCTGTCCAGCTGGACCATCTGGGTTGAACTCGTGGCTCTACCACTTTTTATCGGAGTAGTGTTGGGCTCATAGTTGCTCAACTCTTTGTCCCTTACTTTCCCCAGTGATAAAACGAAGATAGTAATAGCATCTTACATCATAGGATTAAATGAGTTTATAAAAGACAGTGCTTAGAACAGTTATTGGCAAATAGATATTCTTGATAAATATGACTATTATATAAACTTGTCAATTAAATAATAAGGAATGATGCTTTGGTGAAACTACATCCTTCCTGGTTCTTCCATCATTCTATCTTCTTCTGTAGAAAAGTTAACAGTTGAGAGAAATTATTTTCTTTCATACATTTTAGCTGGCTTGAAAATAGATATTGGTGTGCTTTTCCGGGGCCGGCTGCTTTGGTGTGACTATCTCAGAATATCCGGTGGGTTCACTAAGGAGTTGGTTAGCCTGATAAGTATTGTTAGTTGCATGAAGGTATCACCTTCAGGTGGGTATGCCTTCTTTCTCTATTGCAGGTAAAGATCCTCATGTATGAAAATGAAGTCCCAGGCAACCATGATTTGCTGCTTAATGTTCTTTCTGTCCACAGAATGTTCCCACTATAGATCCAAGATTCACCTAAAAGTAAGTTTGAACTATTCCTATGTGATCCAAAGAGAAATCTCTCAGTTGCCCTCGATGGCAAGACTTCTGATAAATAAGATATCATTTTAAATACATTTTCAAATGGTTACAACTTTACTCTTGCTGATAATAACTTTCTAAAGAAGGGAACAAAGAAAAGCTGAGAGGTGGCAGGGACTTGCCTGGAGAGGGAAAGTACAGTAGAATAATCACTTTGCAATGGGAAATGTAGATAGAATGCAGATAGACTGCTGCTGAGAGAGGAAAGTACTTGCCTGGCAGTTGAGCAATGGAGAGTCAGATCTTAATTTTGCTCCCCAGTAGTTGCATAAGTTGTTTCACTTTTCTGAGTCCCAATTTCCTTATCTATAAGATGAAATTTTTAAAGATACTATTTATAGTTCTTTATGGATATAAGAGATTTGTGATTCTATTATTGTGATCTAGTGATTATTCCTAGTATCTGTTAATTTCTGTCTTCTAAGGATCTACAGTGTCTGGTGGACCACATTAACTTCATTTCATCCTTACAGTTAACACAGGCAGAGAACAGATTAGTCGTTTAATTCTCATCTGTGTTCTGTTCTCCCTGGATGCTTAAACTTCTTGAAAGATGTAGCATCTTTACTAACTTCACCTAGAAAGGCCAAGTGACCACCGTCAAGATTCTATCCCTCATCGGAGGGCAGTGCATTCTCCCTGTGCTCTCACCCACGTTTCCTTCAGCAAGTTCCCACAATACCAGCACGTGGATCTGCTGCAGTTTTCTTTCTAGTCCTGAACGCATTTTCTTTTCATATTCACATGGAGCCTCTCAGTTGAGATGAGGGAGCAGAGCCCCACAGTAAAGAGGATCTTTGGGAATTTATATTTTTCAGGCTGGAGATAAACTTCAAAGCCCTGAAGGGAAACCCAAGACTGGAAGGATCCAAGGTATGTGACTATAGAACAGTCTTCATCCATTTGAAGACAGGGAAGAATAAAGGAAGGGCACTGGTGTTGCAAACTTGTCCCCAGATCACAGGCTTTCCAACTGAATAGCAATCTCCAGTAAGTTCTCTACGCTTACCAGTATTCATAGATTTTCTTACATTTATACCATTACCAGTGGCACAGTCAATGAAGGGAGTTATCAAATATTCACATATGCTGTAGAATAGTAGAGAAGTGCACATCTCCAAATCCCAAAGAGAAATCTGTTCAAAGTAATGAGTTAACAGGAGGCAGAAAAGGAAAGAGGACAAGATTATTCCTTCCTTCGTTCAAAGAGATTTTCAGGGTGCTTAAATGTATGCAACACTCTGGTGCTGAGAAGTCTATTAAAGCACTGTAAGATGGACATCATGGGTGATGAGACTGGTCACTCTCAAGAAGTGAGACATAAACTAAGGGGGTAATCACTAATAGTACTTCAGTGAAATCCTGTGGTTCTCACTCACATAGTGGGGAGTAACTGGATTCTGCACAATCATGGCTAGGTGGCAAATACATCCTTATTTGTGAGTGAGAAAGGGAAGCAGAGAGAAAGGTAGCTAAGATTTACAGGGCATTTAAGATAACTTGGATCTAAGTGTTGTACAAGATGCTGTCTCATTCTATATTTATAACAACATTATGGCATCATATTAAATCTATATGGAAGAAGAAACTGAGAACTACTCTGGTTAATGAACTTGCAAAAACTGATGCAAATTTTGCAGGCAAGGTTTGATGCAAATTTTGCATATAAGGTTTGGCAAAGTTTGTTTCCTTTCCCAGTGAATGCAGTCATCACAGAGCTGTCCAAGCCACAAAAGGTGACTCGCAGGTAACTGGTCACCTCATTTTATTGATCTGAACACCCTAATAGCTCTCAGCATCATTTACTTTCCATTCCCCGGCTGCTATCTTAAGGCAATTCTCCTGAGAATATTTCAACAGGCTCACTCTTCCTATCCAAAGTGCCTTCACTGTGACCCATGGGCAAAATTTGGCCTGCCACTAGTTTTGGCAAATAAAGTTTTATCGGAACATAGCCATACCCATTCATTTACATATTGTCTTTGGCTGCTGTCACACTACAAAGGCAGGGTTGAGTAGTTGTGACTAAGACCCATATGGCCTGCAAAGCTGAAAATATTTACTTTCTGGCTAGAGTTACCATATTTAGCAAATAAAAATAGAGAATGCCTGATTAAATTTGAATTTCAGATAAACAATGAATAATAGCGCATAGATCATACAGACACTGAAAACTTATTTGTTGTTTATCTGAGCATTTACAGTCATTTATTATTTGCAGATTCTATATTTGCAAATTTGCCTAATGCTGAAATTTATCTGTAATCCCTAAATCAATACTCACAGTGCTTTTGTGGTCATTCACAGACATGTAGAAAGCAGCAAAAAATTGAGTTGTCCAGTACATATGTTTTCAGCAGGAGCTGGACAAGGTGATGTTTTACCTTCTTGTTCTAGCTCTCCTACTATAAACAACTGTTCTTTCCTAGTCTGTGCAGCATCACAGTTTTGGTTTTGCATTTTTGTGCTTTTTGTTGGTGATTTTGCTGTTTAAAATAGCCCCCAAACATACTGCTGAAGCGCTGCCTAGCATTCCTAAGCCAGAAAAGGCTGGAATGTATCTTATGGAGAAAATGCATATGTTAGATAAGCTTTGTTCAGGCATGAGTTACAGTGCTATTGGCCATGAGGTTAATGCTAATGAATCAACAATATATATTAAATAAGGTATCTTTATATAGAACCATACATTAAAGAGGTCATATATTGATTAGTTGATGAAAATGCTGTAAGCAGAAGCTTGTAGGACCCTACCCTTATATTACCCTAGGAGCGATTGTTCAGAACACTTAGTGTTCATGGTGTCTTTATAGAATGTAACTCCTGTGGATAATGAGAATCAACTGTGTGTGAAAATAACATTGACATTTAACTGGGATTCCCATATTTTATCTGGAAACACCATTCACGTGTTCCTTGACATAAAAGTTTATGGACTCCTGCTCTATCTTATCAATTATCTTTCAAAAACAAGTCCAATCATGTCTTCTGGGAACTCCCACATTAGCACAGCATTCAAGGCCCTGCGTGAGTTAACCTCTGCTTTCTTTCCCACCCTCATCTCTTGCCACTCCCCCTTCAGGTGCTCTGGACTAGTCTTTCTGAATGACGTGAAATTCCCCTTTCCACGTACTGTTCACTCTGCCTGGACACCAGCTTCACAATCTACCTGGCAGCTCTTACTCATTGCCGTGGGCCCAGTTCAACGTCACTTCCTCCAGGAAGCAATCCAAAAATCTCCAGAATGAATTTGATGCACGTGTCAGAGTATGGAAATCCTAATTGGGCTCCTGTCTCTCTCTCTCTTTTTTTTTTCTCTAGAGAAATGCCATGGACCTTGTATCTCTTCTTCCAACTGCAGCCGGCCCTGTGCTAAGGACTTTCGTGGAGAAATAGGATTTACGTGTAATCAAAAAAAGTGGCAAAAATCAACCGAAACATGTACAAGTCTTTCTGTGGAAAAACTCTTTAAGGTAATGCATTCAAAAATTATTGGTGACAGAAGTCAATCCCCCAGGAGAAAGTGAGGCATTTTTAGTGTGATCTGTTCGGCATGACAAAAAGTCTCAGATCTGCAAAACCTACCGAGTGGGTTAAATTTAGAAAAATCTACAGAGTGGGTTACATTTGTTTCTTGACCTTCTTTCCTTACCCAAACTCTCAGGTACTCTCCCTCCTCTCCACATGCTCTCTCTTTCTACCACTAAGAAACTTCTCTTAAAAAAAACAAAAAACGAAAAACAACAACAACAAAAAACAAAGATATGAAACTCATTTACACTATGGTGCATATGATTGCTTAGAGGTTACGTTTTAGCTCTAATGGTGGGTTTGTATGCCTCTTGTGATAATCAGTTAATCAACTAAATGTGTCTAGAATCAAATTTATTTTGATATCTCTTTTTTTGTTTTTGAAATGGAGTCTTGCTCTGCCTCCAGGCTGGAGTGCAGTGGTGCAATCTTAGCTCACTGCAGCCTCCGCCTCCTGGGTTCAAGCGATTCTCCTGCCTCAGCCTCCCGAGGAGCTGGGACTACAGGCACCTGCCACCACATCCAGCTAATTTTTGTATTTTTAGTAGAGATGGGAATTTACCATGTTGGCCAGGATGGTCTCGGTCTCTTGATCTCGTGATCTGCCCTCCTGGGACTCCCAAAGTGCTGAGATTACAGGCATGAGCCACTGTGCCGGGCCTTGATATCTCTTTTTAATACTTTCAATCTCTTGACCAAAAGAAAGGAGAGATGTGTGCTCTATCTAGAGGAACAGAAATTGAATGCATACACATCCAGTTAAAGTTAAAATCTCTTTTGTACCATTCCATGTAGCAACTGTTATCTTCTACCTCCCCTGCAATCCCATGGAAGCTCATGGATCTCTGCATTTTCTAAAATTTTAACAGTGGTTTTACAAGGGGATTGCAGGTGGCTTCTCTGTCACTTAGCCTAGGTAATCACATAGAAGTCCTTGCAACTATGGTCACACTCAAAAGTGAATAAAGGAAATAAATCATTGCTTTTCCTTATTCAAAGTCACATTCTGAGTGAGTCTAGGTAAAAAAAATCAGAAAATGAGCAAATCACCTCTTCTAACTAGTAAACTCTAAAGTCCAAAATTGTAATTCCTTAGCGTTCTGTGTTTGACCTGCCAACCTCCCAAATCCATTCCCCCCATGAAATTCCATGTGGCTCTTCTTTCCCTTCTCTGTAGAAAATTATCTTGTTATAATGCGTGAGTTAAAAATCAATGTCCTGAAAGCAAATTCCAATAGTAAAGGCCAATATCCTGGTCCCTGCTAATTCGAGCGAAATCCTCTGCCTCTTTCTGACCCCACTGTATCCTCTCCACCCCGCTCTGCATCAAATCCACTTTTTAGGATTCTGCTTCTTCATCTGCCTTCGCCATGTAGATTGTTTGTGTTTTAGCTCCTTTAGTCTGACACATGGTAGGTACTTAATCATTTTTGAATGACACTACATTTATTTTAAACAGGACTCAACTGGTGCATCTCGCCTTTCTGTAGCAGCAGCATCTATACCCCTGCACATTCTAGACTTTCGGGCTCCTGAGACCATTGAGAATGTAGCTCAAGGAATCCGTAAGAACTGCCCCCTTGATTACGCCTGCATCATTGATGTTGTGAAATCATCAGAAACGACATCTGGAAATATTGCATTTATAGTGGAGTTATTAAAAAATATTTCTACAGACTTGTCTGATGATGTTACTCGAGAGAAAATGAAGGTATTCTTTGTTAATAATTTAAAAATGATGTTTCTCTTAAAATTTTCATTTGAATAGTTTCAAATGTACTTTCCAGGGCAAACACTACAGTGACAGCAACCATCACAGCAACAGCAGGCATTTCACTTCGGTTTGGGATATTGATTCATTCTAGTTTATGGAAGTTTTCAAGAAGTTAAAACATTTTGAATACCTATCTTTGTACACACTTCACATTTTCAAGAAAATGTCACATAGTGTAGTGATGGCAGTGAGCAAGATGGAATGTACCTTTCTAAAACTATATTCCTTAGAATGGGGGTCCCTGACAGCCGAGCAGTGGATTGGTACCGGGCTGTGGCCTCTTAGAATCTGGTCTGCACAGCAGGAGGTGAGCGGAGGGTGAGCGAACATTACCGCCTGAGCTCGGCCTCCTGTTGGATCAGCTGCAGCATTAGATTCTCATAGAAGCACGGACCCTATTGTGAGCTGCCTATGAGATGAAGGTAGGTTGTGTGCTCCTTAGGAAAATCTAATGCCTGATGATCTAAGGTGGAACAGCTTCATCCTGAAACCATCCCCACCTCCGCCGCCCAGAGTCCATGGAAAAATTGTCTTTCATGAAGCTAGTCCCTGGTGTCAAAAAGGTTGAGGACCACTGCTGTAGAACATAACCATTCTGAGAAATGTTAATGGAGATTCCGTTTTTAAAAGGGAGATCTGTAGCACATCAGTTGTAGGAAATTCTAGGTTAAACAAAGTTAGGCAGGTTTCTGTATGGCACAACTTTTCAGAGCCTTTAATGTCCTAATGAACTTTGGAATTCTTTGTAAGGCAGGGGGAGATAGGGACAGGGTGTGCAGTCTTTGTCAAGGTTGAATGACCAGAGAACATACCTCCACTCTCCTCCATTAAACAATCATTAAAATCTAATGGGAAACTTGAGTTCTACACACACTGCAGTCTGGAAATGCTGCCCTGGGTGCAATAATAAAGCAGGTAAACCTTAGCTGTGATTTTTTTTTTTTTTTTTTTTTTTTGCGTTATTTTACTTTTCTTCCCTCTGTGTGACCTTACTAATGTGGGATTCTAATACATAGGGAATTTGAAGAGAAATATGCCAAATAAGATTGGGTAACTTGATCTTTAGAAATTTCAGGTTTTAGAAATCAACTTTATACAACAATGTGTAAATCCTTAGTATAATGTTCACCTTTCTCCATTGCAGAGCTATAGTGAAGTGGCCAACCACATCCTGGACACGGCAGCCATTTCAAATTGGGCTTTCATTCCCAACAAAAATGCCAGCTCGGATTTGTTGCAGTCAGTGAATTTGTTTGCCAGGCACCTCCACATCCACAATAAATCTGAGAACATTGTGAATGAACTCTTCATTCAGACAAAAGGGTTTCACATCAACCATAATACCTCAGAGAAGAGCCTCAATTTCTCCATGAGCACAAACAATACTACAGAAGATATCTTAGGAATGGTACAGATTCCCAGGCAAGAGCTAAGGAAGCTGTGGCCAAATGCATCCCGAGCCATTAGCATAGCTTTCCCAACCTTGGGAGCTATCCTGAGAGAAGCCCACTTGCAAAATGTGAGTCTTCCCAGACCGGTAAATGGTCTGGTCCTATCAGTGGTTTTACCAGAAAAGTTGCAAGAAATCGTACTCACCTTCGAAAAGATCAATAAAAGCCGCAATGCCAGAGCCCAGTGTGTTGGCTGGCACTCCAAGAAAAGGAGATGGGATGAGAAAGCATGCCAAATGATATCGGATATCAAGAACGAAGTGAAATGCCGCTGTAACTACACCAGTACAGTGATGTCTTTTTCCATTCTAATGTCCCCCAAATCAATGACGGACAAAGTTCTGGACTACATCACCTGCATTGGGCTCAGCGTCTCAATCCTAAGCTTGGTTCTTTGCCTGATCATTGAAGCCACGGTGTGGTCCCGGGTGGTGGTGACGGAGATATCATACATGCGTCACGTGTGCATCGTGAATATAGCAGTGTCCCTTCTGACTGCCAATGTGTGGTTTATCATAGGCTCTAACTTTAACCCTAAGGCCCAGGACTCCAACGTGTGTGTTGCAGTGACATTTTTCAGCCACTTTTTCTACCTCTCTCTGTTTTTCTGGATGCTCTTCAAAGCACTGCTTATCATTTATGGAATATTGGTCATTTTCCGTAGGATGATGAAGTCCCGAATGATGGTCATTGGCTTTGCCATTGGCTATGGGTGCCCATTGATCATTGCTGTCACCACAGTTGCTATCACAGAGCCAAAGAAAGGCTACATGAGACTCGAGGCCTGTTGGCTTAACTGGGACAATACCAAAGCCCTTTTAGCGTTTGCCATCCCGGCATTGGTCATTGTGGCTGTGAATCTCATTGTGGTTTTGGTTGTTGCCATCAACACTCAGAGGCCCTCTATTGGCAGTTCCAAGTCTCAGGATGTGGCCATAATTATGAGGATCAGCAAAAATGTTGCCATCCTCACTCCACTGCTGGGACTGACCTGGGGTTTTGGAATAGCCACTCTCATAGAAGGCACTTCCTTGACATTCCATATAATTTTTGCCTTGCTCAATGCTTTCCAGGTAAGTTCCAAGAGAGAGACTTCTGTGTTACTCTGGCTACACCACAAAAAATGACTATGATCTGAAATTATAGAACACAAAATGTCCTCTCCACTTCCTTTTATATCTTAGGATTATTTGGCTATGGCATCTCTAACTGTTGATTCTTAAATTGAATTTAGCTGACCAGGGTGGTTGGGTGGAAATCTCCTTCCTTCTTTCCTCACTGATCCACCTGTATCCCTACTAAAGTTTCAATCTTAGAAGAAGCCAACTTTCACTTATAGAGGACTATTGTTTGGTCAAGGATATGTGAAGCTACATGTTATGCCTGAAAACAGGTACATTTTTTATCCTTTCTCCAGTGGTTTGGGAATTCAGTGAAATAACAGCCACTTTCTATATTATGAAAAGATGGGCCTTGCCACTCACTTTGGGTGTTAGCCAGTCAGGAGTTCTCATACCCCTTCCCTGCTAGTCACATTTGTAAAATGTGAGAGCTGTGAAATGAGAAATGAGTTAGAAATGAGATTCTAGTCCAACCCATTCATTTTACAGGTATGGAATCAAAGCCCAGAATACTTATGGGATGGGCACAGGGCCACCCAGCTAACAGCTATCTGTTTATAGAAACAGATCTTGCCATATGTTACCTGATCTTGGGAATGACACTTTTCTCTGGGCTTCAACTTTCTCATCTGTAAAATAAAGATAGGCATCTAGAATGATCTCTATTGTCTTTTCCTACTCCAACATACTGGGTTTGGCAAGATTGTTCCTCTCAAAGTTGTTTTACTGTCTCTTGGCTACTAAGCTTACACTTTTGGGAGGCTATCATTGACCAGACTGCTTTTCATACCCACAAGTAATAGAAAATTTGATGAGTCCATTTTCTTGATTATGCTTTTAATCAGAAGTTGGCAAACTATGGCCTGCAGGCTGTTTTTGTAAATAGGGTTTTACTGGTAGCCAGTCATGCTCATTTGTTTACAGTTTTCCTTTGACTGCTTTTAAGTTACAACAGCAAACTTGAGTAGTCACAGCAAAGACCGTATGGCCTGGAAAGCCTAAAATGTTTACTATTTGGTTCTTCTCAGTACAATTTTTCCCCACTACTGTTTTAAATAATATAACTAATTAAACAGTAAAGTATTCCTATTAACATGTCAGTATTATTCTGTTTAAAAGCATGATACAAAATAGAAAGCAGCCTTTAAAGAAATACCAACTCAGATCAATTATATATCTTACTCATAATTCTATAATAACTAAGGAGCACACTTATTCTACTCTTTCTGTTGCATTGCTTTACAGTGAAATCTTTGACATGAGGGATTTTTTTTTTTTTTTTAAATCAAAGACTCTGGGACTTTTGATAAATTTCCCCACTCTTGAAGTTACTCTGGTGAGTAATGATCTCATCCTTCCTTACTTTGCAACTTAATTAAACCCCAGGAAATTTTGCTATGTATTTCTTTTTCAGTTCATTTGTGTTTCTCTCTTCTTGACAGAAAAATACTCAAATGTTTCTAGTTATATACATTTCTCTTTTCTCAACAAGCTCTCCCTGTGACTTAACATCTAAAATTTTAATCAGATGAGTGTTTCTTCGCCATGAACTCTCCTTAGATTGATTGTGAAAAGACCCTAGCCTTACAAATCTCTGTAGCATTCTCTTACTTTTATGTAGAAATGTTTTTTTTTTTTTTTTTTTTTTTTTCCCACCAGCTTAGAGGCCTTGGCTGTCTATTTACTGACTTTTAATTCCAGCTCAAAGTAGACTAGAATATATATAGAAAATATAAGTTTCGTTTTCTTAAGACACCTTCCATGATTGTGATTTTGAATTACAAGTTTCTGTCACACGTTACTGTCATCATGAGTAGAAACAGCTACCTCTATATTTGGGAAGAAAGTAACATAACTGCATAAGGCTGAAAACTGTCCTACATCTACAGTCATTCAATAAATATCAATAACCCTCCTGCATATTCCTGTGCAGGCGATGATCCTCTTCCAAGGGTGGGGGCAGACTCAAAGGAACACCCATCAGTGCATTATTATCTGCATTAGTGGAAACTGAAGTTTCTAATGTCCAATAACTGCCCTAGGAGGTATCTAGAAGAGTGGTATGAAAATAACAGCTGAGATATTTTTTGAAAAACCATCCCTCATGAGTCTGTTGAATTTTGCCACAGGGTTTTTTCATCCTGCTGTTTGGAACCATTATGGATCACAAGGTAATTTGAATTTGCTTCCTCCTTATCAATGATTTTCATGTGGCTGGGGGAAGCAGGAGGATGAAGCAGTTTTGATTGGAGAGCATAGTCCAGGGGAATTGAGTTTGTGAGGATGGTTTGAGGAATCAGCTGTGAAAAGGAAAAACAAAACAAAACAAAACCAATATTCTGTCATTTCTTGCTCTTTATCAAGTCAACAGAAGGCTCTTTATCAAGTCAACAGGAGGAGTATTCCTGGTGAAAAAAATGGAAATCATAATCACAATTTTAATGTTAATACCAAATCCGAAATCTAATTAAAACTACATGCTAGCTTTTATCCAAATCTTGTTACTTGCCAGTCACTATGCTAAGTCCTCTGATACTGCTTCTGCCAGGGTTACTGGTCTTAAAGTTTCAGGACAGGCATCTGAGCCCTGGTGATTCTGTTGTTTCTTCCAATATCCGTGAGGTACTTCTTACTGTCATTGCTTCTTTAGATAAGAGATGCTTTGAGGATGAGGATGTCTTCATTGAAGGGGAAATCAAGGGCAGCTGAGGTAAGCCTTCCCCTTTTAGTCTCAGCCCTGGAGGGTCCGTGTCCTCACCAGTTATGCAGAGACAAATACCATAGCTCAGTACTCAGGATCTGCGGTCGAAGAGGATCAATAGAGCATAATTCATTCATTTCTTCATTCGATAAATTTGGAGTATTCTGCTAAAACTGAAGGTCAGCGGAATATACCCTTCAAGAGAATGTTTCATGTTGGATGTATTTCAGCTTGACATTTGAACCCATCAAGATGGGACCACATGAACTCAGGATCATAGATTCATAAAATGTGAGAGCTGTGAAATGACAAATGAGTTAGAAATGAGATTCTAGTCCAACTCATTCATTTTACAGGTATGGAAGTCAAAGCCCAGAATGCTTATGGGATGGGCACAGGGCCACCCAGCTAATCAGTAGCAGAATCACAACAGGGAACAATTGGCATTGAAATCTTTTTCCATTCTCCTTGAGACTCTTTTGAGTAAACCATACTCTCTTGGATTGGAGTATCTGTGTATTTACAGATCTTGGAGACTTTGAGTCTGGCTATCAGTCTCTTAAAGCACCAAGTAAAACTGCTGATACTACTTTATTAATTAGAAGTTATTTGTTTAACCTACAGATTCACATTAGGAGCCCCTTCCTTAAAAACAAAAACTTTTTGGATACATTGATAACTACCATTTATAGTTAGATAGCATTGAGTGTGATTTTTAGTATCATAGATTATCTATTCTAAGATAGGCATTTTCTTCATCTTTTAATGTGTCTGAAATTGGAATGTATCTTATATTCAATGGCATGTCAGAGTTTAATTGGAAAGTTTTGTTTCCCTTTGTTTTTTAGCAGAACATAAAAATAATGATGTAGCTTACACTTCGATTCAGTGAAATATGATAATTTAGTTTTGTGTAGCTATATCAATGTGGGTACTCCTTTTCATGTATTCATTTTCACATGTTTATCTCTAGAGAGGGATATACATTTAGTCAATATCATTATTCATTACCACCACTGTTATTTTTCCCCCACTTAGAATGCATCATTAAGCCCAACCAATGGATCTGAATTAATGAATCGTCAAGGATGAAATGTGAGTATTAAAAATACAAAGAGAAATTTCACCTGCAATTTGTATCAATCCACCAGTGCCCCTTGTGACCACACTATTGCCTGCTATGTGATGCCGGAATGAGGTAGGAGGGGAACAGGGGGACATATTTTTCAGAGAATGGAAACATCTTGATTGTCTAGCACATAAATGAAAATATGTACATTTTCTTTAAAACCTATGTCATCTCAGCTTACATGACCAAACCCATCACACCTGCTGTCTACAGTACTCACATACTTTAATTCCATCTTGTCAGTGAGTAGTAACACTCATAATAGCCCCATTGTTGAAAAAGAACACTTGATTGATTGGAATCACAAAGCAACAGGTCTGTCTTTCCTAATGAAGTGGAATCCAGAATCATTCCTAAGCGGGTGTGGGTGGGGTTGTGGCAAATTAGCTACCTACTCATAGCCAGCCCCTGAGACATATTTCTACACAGGTGAAACCAGGGGGAGAACACACATTAGGCAGCCAGGAAGCAGGAGAGTAAGTCACAAAAATGGCAGCCAGAAGCCTGAGAGGTACTGGGGGAATGTGGGCAGGGATGATCAACCTTGGGAATGGTTTTGCTTGGAGAGGTTTCATGGCCTTTCTGCATTGTTATAGAAGAGTCTCAGACTTTCAAACAAAATACCATTTGGCAGCAGCCACATCCTTTTTATATTTCTTTACTTTTCTGAGTCATGGTCCATATATTGAGCAACGGGCCAAAACAAGGGGTTGAATCTCATGGAACCAAAGACACTCTGAGTTGGAAAAACCTTTAAGGGACATCCATGTTACAGACCCTGCAAACCGTATGCTGTGCTGGTATGGGAGGTACAGTCCCAGGGAGAGGGAGAGAGAGGAGGAGGGCTCTGTCGTATACATGGAGTGGCATGTGTGAGTGCTGGGAAAATGGGGAGGGGAAAACATAGGCCTGTTACCCTTAATAATTGTCATCATATTTGGAATTTTATAGGAGAACTTTACAAAGGTTGATCCTCCTGCTCGCTGCCCATTTCCTAGTCTGTCAGCTTCCTCCAGGATGAAACATCGCTATGTTTCTTAATTTGCCACTAATAGAGAGTCACTAATTCAAATGACCTATTAAAAACACAGCTGGCCTTTCTATTAAGGTCCTAATTAAACAACCGCTTGTTTTAGGTTTATCAGACTGTCTCAGGTGGAGGAGGCCCTGCCTTTGGGGGATACTGTGTCCAGCCTTTCAAGGGAAGAAGTGCGTAGTGAAGGCCTTATCTCCAGCTGGTTGGGGATTCTTGGTTGGCTGTAGTCCATGTTGGAGAAACACAGGAGAAGGCAAGATCAGGAGCTACACTAACTAGGTCTGGGGATGTACAAAGGAGTCTGCCAGTATTAGAAGGAAGTCCAGGAAGGAGGTGGAATGCCCTTACAATACTCCATGATGAAGACTTCATCACGTAATTCTCTAACTATCAACTTGCTCTATTTTGGAAGTGATAAGAGGTAGGCGAGGAGCTGAGGACTGGATTCTTTGAGCATATCCCTTGTAGGTGGCTCTGTGCCTATTGAATTTTCTCAGTATTGGGTCCTATGCTCTGGACTCACGTGATATCAGAAGGGCTCTATAATCACAGCTGGCATCGTGGTAGACCGTGTTGAGGACCCAACAAAGATTACAGTACGGGGCTAAGAAATTCACACTAGATCATCCTCCAAAGTCCAGAGTGGAGGGTAGCAGCACCAGGGGGGTCCATCAGCAGAGAGAGGGGCCCCATGCACAGGGTTCAGGGCAAAACCCCAGGCACACTCGGGTTATTTGGTAAGCACCAGGAGTGGTGGTGGTCCAGGGCAGGGCTGAACCATAGGGGAAGGCAGTGTTCCAGACCTTCACCAAGAATACAGGATTGAAGGCTGACCTGATCTCAGCCTCTCAATCTGAGAAACGGATTGAGAGGTCAGAATTGGACTTGCAAGGAGAATTGAGGTTTCCAGCATTGGGGGACCCTCCTCATATCCCAATGAACGCAGGTCAGAATTGTTCTTAGAAACAGGGTTGAGACAGGTCTGTCAGGTGGTCCCAGGGTCAGGGAAGGAGGACTGCAGAGGTAGAGAAACAGGGAACTTAGCTTTGGGAGTAGATTCTCATTGGGGGACCCCATCCTGGGAGGCAGGGGAGAGAGGGCCACGGCATTATGTTGGAGGCCACAGCTCCACAGCACCCTCTGTTGTTCATATCAAAGGGAGGACAAGCAGGCTGTTAGATTCCAGGGGCACCAGGAAGGCGCTGGGTTCCTCCAGTGTCTTCCATGCATTTGTTTATGCTTGTTTAGTGTTGGTTTATCACTAAAAGGATACAGAGTTTTTCACTCCACAATAATAAATGAGACTGGTTGAGCAAATACCCCGAGGGAAGCAACACGGTTTACAATGTAAATTCACAGCAGCAGAGGCATTCTAGAATCCAAGTTCCAACAGCAGAGGAGGAGGGAGGGCACTGAGCACCAAGTTTAGGGCGGAAGGAGCAGCCCAGGGAAGGCAAAGGCACCAAAAATTGCAGCTGAGAGCATCGCCTTTTTACTGTGTGACCTTGAGGAAATTACTCAATGGCTCTGTGCTTCATTTCATCTTCTGTAAAGCAGAGTTGATAATACTACAGGCCTCCCAAGACAGTTTCAGGATTAAATGAAGTAACACGTTAAAAACCCAATGCAAGCTGTTGTTCTTGCTATTAATTGTTTTTCAACCATATTTCCCAGGCTGCCCCATTTCTGATGGATGTCCTGAGACCAAGAGGGGAGATTGGGAGAAAGAGGACATGGAAAGCAGGCTGGAGTGAGGAGGAATGGTCATGCTTCCTTGGAATACTTTCTCTTCTTGTCAGGAGTGACTCCAAAGCTCTTGGTCTGCTGAAGAAAAACTGAGGATATCATTTGCTGACTGAGCTTTAAGGAGGGTGATTTATGGACCCTTTGACCTACCTGCGCCCTGCAAGAGGCTGGCTTCTTGGTCAATCTTAGCCGTTTTATGGTCTCCTGGGCCAGTTGGGGGCTGTGGGGCCCTGCTGGGCTTGGTTGTCTTTCACTTCTGAGGCCTGCTGTGTGGCTCCATAGCTCAGTCCTCCATCACTCTGCGTGGATCTTGGGTACTTTCGACAGTGAGGGTTAGATCCAATTTTAGGAGTAGGGTTGGGGGTGTGAGTGGTAGCGTGGGGTGGCAGGAGGAACAATGAGTCTACTTTGGAGACAGTTAAGTCATGGTACGTTTCCTAAAGATAGGGAACAGAAGAAAAGTAAGAGAACTGTTTCATATGCTAATTTTTTTAGTGTATTTTAGACCTTGAGTAAACTAATTTAGCTTCTAGGATCCAAGTTTCCTTATTTGTGAAACAGGAAAAAAAAAAATTCTTGTAGGTATTACTATTTGTGTGTTTGTGTCTACCTGCATGTGTTTGTGTTTGTGTGTGTGTGTGTGTGTGTGTCTTTTAAAAATACTATATATAAAGAAGATTCTGGTTGTTATTTTAGATGTAAAAATGAATATATGTACCTTTCACAACTTGCTCATGTGTGAGTTCATTTGAGATGGGCTTGTCCATTGGTACCACACATTCTTGGGCACTAGTGCTGCTATCAGTCCACCTCAGTGCATTGATCATACCTATAGGAGGCCTGAGAATGCAATCCTGCCATGCGTTCACAGGGCGGGAACCTGGAAATATTTAGCAAAGAACACTAGCGTCTTTCAGGGATTCTCAACGAAATTTCTATCACCAATTTGGCTTTATAGTGAGGCATTCAGGACTGAAGATGGGTATGTGCATGGGTAGAGCACTGGGTTCAAATTGTGGAAGTCGTGAAAGCTGATTAGTGGTCATGCTTTTTCATAAAACAAACAACAAAACAACTGAATGAATATCTCTTTGCAGGGCTCCTGTCAAAACCTTTAGTATTGGTTTAGAAACAAGATAAGATCTGGTTTCATACTAAATAGTAATTATTTAAAGAGTGAAAATTCTCAGTCAATTGCAAATTTTTCTCCTCTCATGAAATGAAAATAAAATGTTCATTGGAGAGACATGAGTTTAACTTTTAGATGTATAAAAGTTCTTTAGCATTAATTTATTGATTCACATTTCCTTTCTGATTCTTGTCACTATAAAAACAACTTTTATTTCTCTCAATCCAGAAATTCCTGAGCATTATGCAATTCCAAGCCAAATAATTGCCTTTGGTTTAGTAGATTTATTTGATACTGTAACAAGGCCAAATCTATAATTTCCATATGCTAATACCATTTAGTCTTCTTTCTTTTCCATATTTTCCAAAGCTTTCCATCTTCGTAGCACATAGTAAGAGAAATGTAGTACTGGGTGCAGTCAGTTCTGCAATAAGGCCACATATGCATTTCAAAAATCACCTTGCTATGCAAAATAGACAATGAAAACCACAGAGCTTATGGGGAAAATGGATTGGAGATAAAACATGGCAAAACTTTGTCAGAGACCCATTAAAAAAGATAACTGAATAAAAATTATAGCACAGTTTTACTCATGTTAAGTGGTCAAGAAATATATAAATACGACTACACACACACACACACACATACTTTTCATTGAAAAAGATCTGAAATTTGCTTTTGGAAGTGGTTGTCACAAAGGTTGCAGCTTGTTAGTTATGGTGAAGGAAGGTTATCTGACATTGATAGAAAGTTGTAACACCAGAAGTAAATTGGTATAGCTTATAACACATGCAGTGAATTGAGAGAGCTGGTAGATGTTTGAAGTTTGTGTGTGTGTGTGCATGCGTGTGTGCATGTTTTGTATACTCCTACATTGCTTGATTCATGTACATACAGTTTTCTGGGTTCACCTAATGTTTCTTGAAGATGGTATCACATATTAGCAAACATGAAATTCATGTTATGTTCAAATTATTCCCGAATATATCCATCCAGTTAGAACAAATTCTTGTTTTCAAAACAAGCATTATAGCAGAACTGGCTGTATCTCGTGGTGAACCACCATAAAGAACAGTGAGTTCCAGCACTGAAACGCATTAAAAATCACCTAGAAAGCTTCTAAAACCATGAAACCCTGAGCCTTACCCCCAGAGATTCTGATCCAATTAGTCTTTGAAAAGGCGGGAAAAGAAAACCTTTCTAGGTGGAAGAATGAAGAAAGAGAAACTTCTCACTCAATAAGTTTAATTCAGATAAATAGTTACTGGTTTCTTACTGTATGTACCTACATTGAGGGGTTCAAGTGGAGAAAATGAAGTCTCTCTTAGTCTTCTGCTTGTGACCAAATATCTATCCACAGAAAAATATATTTTAAAACAGTTTTATCCAACATTGAATTATTACACAAAGACTTGTTGTAATGAATATATCAGATAATTGTGGAATTGGATGGTGATCTCAGAGCAAGTGGAACCTGAGCTGGGCCTAATGGCTGGAAAGGATTTGAACAGATGCTTATTCTAGGCCTGGAGGAGAGCGTGAGCACTTCAGAGAGGGAAGTAAAGAGTATAGAAGGCACTCATGGGAGACCATGCAGACAGCAGCCTAACCAAAGCGGAGGCCATGCTGGCCATGGAAGGAGAGTAGGTCAGATTCTGGAAGGCCTAGCATACCTGGTGTGGGGGTGATGGGGCTGGATCTGGTATGTGACAGTAAATGTAATAAATGCTGCTTAATGCACAGCTTTCTGTTTTGGAGAACAATGGTTAGTCTTATTAAGGAAACCAAAGACTCAGAGAAATGTGGAGAGGATGACAGGGTGGAGTAAAGGGGCTATCTGTTAGGAAGGCACTGCCCAGGCTCTTGGATGACTATCTCGCTATGATTACAGTATCTGGGCATGAACCCTAGGCAGAAAGATCTCAGCCCTGAGCCACTCATTGGAAGGTAAATTTTACAGTTATCGATTTCTCCCTTCTAGTAAATGTCACAAGTCAATGACTCAATGGTTGTGGTTCCATTATAGCCTTTCGTATTTGTCCATTTTGCATTGCTATAAAGGAATACCCGAGACTGGGTAATTTGTAAAGAAGAAAGGTTTATTTGGCTCATGCTTCTACAAGCTGTACAAGCATGGTGCCAGCATCTGCTGGGCTTCTGGTGAGGTCTCAGAAAGCTTGGCATAAGGGAAGAGGAGCAGGTGTGTCTCATGGTGAGAGAGAAAATAAGGGAGGGAAGGAGGCGCCAGGTGTTTTTTAACAATCAGTTTTCATGTGAACTAATAGAGTCAGAATTCACTCATTACTATCGGGAGGGCACCAAGCTATTTGTGAGGGACCCATCCCTATGACCCAAACACCTCGCATTAGGTCCCGCCTCCAACATTGGGGATCACATTGCAACCTGTGACTTGGAGGGAACAAACATCTAAACTATATCATTCTTTAAAAAGAAATCCATTTTTACCTGCATACTGTAGCCAGGTGGTATTTTGTCATCTCGTTCTACCTCTCCACCCATTTCATTCGTTCCATTGGCAGATCTGGCTGAAAGTTTGTATTGCAAATGGAAGGGGTAGGTTTTACGTAGGTTTGTTTTTGCAATCCAGCTCTTTGAGAGATAGCAATCTGCCTGGGGAGTGGAGAACTGGTTTTCAGAGTCACAGGACCTTGGGGAAACAGTCACTGAGTGGCACCCCTGAAAGAGGCAACCAAAGAAGGGAGCTCGCGTTCAGCCCAGTTCCCACAACTTCCTCTGGGAGGGGGCCTGTGCAGATTTAACAGCCCTCAGTGCAGGATGTGATGAGCTGGCAAAGAAAAGACTTAAGCTGATAAAACAAATGAAGAATGTTGAAGCTCATGAAACAGGAAACAAGCATGTGCAGAAGAGTGCCACCCTTCTATATGATATGGGTATTTTAAGACAGTGGATAGAACCTTTTTTCAGACACATAAATGGGGTATGAAAGTCAGGGAGTAAAGACTATGAACATCTACACCTTTGGACCTGGGAACTTTTGGAGAGAGTGGGCTGGATTGGGGCTTGTCTCTGTGATGCCCATTATACATAAGCACTGTAGGCCAATGGAAAGAAGCTAGGTTTTGGAGAGTCAGGCATGTCATATTAGTCCATTTTCACACTGCCATAAAGAAATACCCAAGACTGGGTTATTTATAAAGGAAAGAGGTTTAATTGACTCACAGTTCAGCATGGCTGGGGAGGCCTCACAATCATGGCTGAAGGCAAATGAGGAGCAAAGGCACGTCTTACATGGTGGCAGGCAAGAGAGCTTGTGTAGGGGAACATCCCTTTATAAAACCAGCAGATCTCATGAGACTTATTCACTTATTCACTATCATGAGAACAGCACTGAAAGACCCACCTAATGATTGAATTACCTCCCACTGGGTCCCTCCCACAACATGTGGGAATTATGAGAGCTACTATTCAAGATGAGATTTGGGTGGGGACAAACTACATCACACCCTAAGCATTGTCCTATAAGAACTGAAGTCAACTGCCTCTCCCTATATCATGCCAAGGTCAGCTTGCATGCAATGATTGAATGACATTAACCATAAAGGCCTTGCTCAATTTGGAATATTTCTGAAGGACCACCCATCTCCAGAGCTTCCTGTGGGATCAGCAGCAGCCACTGTTCATTGCTTCATAGTTCAACTCTTCCTTCTTCCCCATTTGGCTGCTTTCATTCACCCACAGAAACACTCCCCAATAAACTTTATACAACTAAACTTCCATCTCAGATTCTGCTCTCCAGGGAATGTGAACAAGGACGCCATTCATAGAAAACTATTTTTATTGGTATACTAATGATATTCTTTGCTCAGAGTAAGTGGAAGTAATTGATAGTCTGAATGTTTTGCATGATAGAATGTATGTTGATGAAAATTTTCTGACATTAGAGAACATATGCTCAATGGAAGTAGGACTCACTTAAAAAAAAATTAGCCACATAGCAGCCAAATAAATATGGGATCCAAATATTTTGAGTTACTAAGCCACTATTAGAGGACTGCCCATCAGTGACCTTACAGGCTGCTGGAACTATGTAAAGAGAAAACACAGGGCTGAATGTGGCTACCCAGGATAAATGCACCTTGAGATATGATTGTTCACCCCAGGAATAGGCCACCCATTTCTGAAGGAGCTCTGATATTAGTGCACAAGAAGTCTATAATCTAGTGTTCTTGGTTTTCAGAGTGATTTATTGTAAAGAAATCTGGAAATAAATCAGGCTCTGGAATATGTTCTGAGCCCTGAGAACACCTGAGTGCCACCAGTCATGTGACCTAGGGAAAGTCATAACTCTTCTGTCCATCTGTTTCTTCACCTGTCACCATGGACAGAGTGGAAAAATGGGCTGCAATCAATCCTGAATCTCCAAGTCCCTGATCTGCTGTTGCCACAAACAAGAGCTGCAGAGGGGATGTTTCAATCATGTCTCTTTTTCACGAGGACTTCTTAGTGCAATAATATTCCCATGAGGAAGTCAGTCTTGGTGAACGGGGCTGGACCATGCACTTGGGATCTACAAGGACACCTTTGTCTTTCTGGGGTAAGGTCACATGTCTTTCTTGGTTT